CCTTAACCCCTGCATGCCCCCCAGCATCGCCCCCAAAACCCTTTCAGCATCCCCCAGAGTGAATCCCCATCCATGTCCTGGAGGTATCCCCCAGAATCCTCCCCTCCTCACCCTCACTCTGCTTCCCCTGCCAGCATTTCAAGGAATTTAATGCTAAAAATACCCTCTGAGGGGGAACCCAGCTGCAGGGAGCACTTCCCCCAAACTGGCTGCTGCAGCCTCGAGCTCTGCCCAGGCTGGTGCAGCCCAACATCCCCTCCTCTTCCTCCTCACCTCCCTGTAGTGCATTACTTCCAGCAGTGCAAATCATTCAGGATGAAGAATTTTTCCACTTGTACCCTGGTGGACAACATCGGGGGAGCTTGTGGAAGGTGTGTGGGTGCCTGGATGTCCTCCCAGGGCCACTTCTGTGTCCCCATGTCCCAATTGCAACCTCCACTACTGCCCTGAGCTGGGCAGTCCTCAGCCCTTGGCAGCTCTGGGGACATCTTCAAGAGACTCCACTTCCAGCCCCAAAGCCCCAAAGCCAACCCTGAGGATGGAGGAAAGACTGAGATCCTCACGCCAGGTTTGGGAGCCCCTGGGGCTGATATTTCCCTAGGACAGGTCCCTGTCCTTCAGTCGGATCCTTCCTCTCTTCCCGCTTCAGGGGAAAAAATCAGAGTGGGAAAACGGGAGCGTGTCTGACATTGTTCCCTCTGTCACAGGCAAAGGCAAAGTCAAAGCAGCCGTGAAAAATCATCAACAATTGGTTTTGGCAAGAGGAGGCAAACCAGAGCTTTCCATGAATTTTTTTTTTCTTTTTGCTAGAAAGGTTGCTTTTCTTCCAGAGAGAGCTTGAAGGATGGCTTCTCGCCAGCTTCATCCCAAAGCCATCTCTCTGGGACAGTGAAAACCTGGCCCAGATTTAGGAAAACCTTAAGTCACAGGATCAGGCCCTCACATCCCTGGGGTCTGCAGTTGGGGTCTGCACCCCATTGTGCCCCATGACTTGGAGCTGCCATGGAGGTTTTGCAGGCACAGCTTGAGGTGTCCCAGGCCAGCAGAGGGTGGTGGGGGCAGACTGGGGTATCTCCCCTAGGATTTGAGATTCTCCAAATCCCTGGTGCTGGCTGGGGTTTCCCACACCCTGCCAGGATGTGCTTCATCCCTCTGGATCCTGCTGTGGCCAAGGGACACCCTGAGAGGGGCCACTGCCCCCCTGGGCTGCACCAGCCATGGCTTTGCCATGTCCTGACCACCACGGGGGCCAAAGGCTTATAGGGGGAACAAACCCAGAGCCAACAGCAGGCAGGGAGCCCCAGGTGCCTCTGTGCACCCCCAAACACCTCGGTGCACTCCCAGATGTCTCTGGGCAACTCCTCAGGCACAAGCAGCCCAGGACTGCCCCAAAACATCCCCTGTACCCCCCAAGCCAAACCTCAGGAGCACTTCTGACCCTGCTGCAGGATCAGCCCCATTGTCACCCCAGTCTGCAGCGAATTGGGGTGTGCTGTGCGTGTGGACACTGAATTAGGTTGTGCCTGGGGTCTTCTCCCCCCCCAAAATCACTGTCCTAAGCTTGAGCTGCCGAGCTGCTGCCTGTCCTTTCCACCCTGGGGCCAGGAGCAGCTCAGTCTCCCCCAAAAAACACATTCCCCCCGTCCTGGAGCTGGGGCTGGCAGCCTCTCTGCCCCCAGGGTGAAGGCTGCACGAGCAAACACCCAACACCCCCCCAGACACACAGTTTTTTTTTCCTTGGAGTGTTCTGCAGGGCTGGGAATGGGGTGGCTTTGTTGGGGTTTTCTGCAAAGCTGGGCATTGGGTGGGCACCCCACTGGAGCTGCAGAGAGTTTGGGGTGCAGGGATGCCCTGGAAGGGGCAGAGGGGGAGTTTCAGAGCATCTGAGCGGAGATTAAAAAGAAATCAAGAAGGAGAAAAAGAAGAAGAGGAAAGGACGGTGTTTGGGGGCAAGAAAAAGGGTTAAAGCAGTGCAGAGGAGGAGAGGTGAAGGCCGAGGGCTGGCGGAAAGGGGGAGAGGCGGGGAGAGGTTGGGGAGCGGGAGCTCGGCTGAGTGAGAACATCCTGTACCCTCGGTAACAACGGCCAGGGCGGGGGTGAGGGGGGCACTGGGGCGGGGGATGTGTCACACAGCTCTCTGCTAAGCGGGACACCCCTCGGGTGATGGGCTTGGACAGTGGGGGGCAATCCTGCCCATGGGGTGAGGCTGGGGAGGGTCTTGGGCTGCCCTCCTCCCCCGCATCCCTTCAGTCTCATTTTCCTCGCGGCTTTTTAACCGAGCAGGGAGACTCCTGTGCTGGGCAGAGGGGGAGGAAGGGGCACCCCAAAACTTGTATCCCTCCTTCCCCCGTCCCCCAGGTCTCCCCACACCTCGCTGCCTGCACAGGGATGCTCTGCTCACCCCGGGCTTTGCAGCTGAGGTTGCCCCCACCCTGCTGGAGGGTCCCCCTGTCCCCAGGGCTGGCAGCACCCCACACGCGCCAGGGGCCCCTTCCTGTGTTTGTTAAGACGCCGTGAGTCAGGCGTCTGGTTTTCGGTTTAAGCCAATATTTACCAGCCAAGAGCTGCCAAAATAAAGCTGCGGCTTCACCAGTAAATATAGGGCTGAGATGGGGCGAGGCAGGGGGGGATTTATGCGTCCCCCACTTCAGCACAGCCACCCCCTTCCCACCTCTCTGGTGCCCCCATCGTCCTTCTGCCAGCGCGGGGACACCACAAAAACGGGAACACCACAGAATCCCCCCAACAAGCACACCAGAGATTAACCCTGCCTGCCCCGCCCCAAACATCACCCCCCTCCTTCCAGGGGGACCCCCAGTGCAGGACTCGGAGTGTCAGAACTTTCAGGGACCCCCAAGGGGGGCCGCCCCAGGGCTGGGGGTCCCTGCCGGGCTGGGGTCCCCGGGCTGTGGGCACGGTGCCGCTGCCCTCTGCCGGTGCCGGCACGGCCGGGGCTGGGCGTTGCTCACATCCTGCCCCTGCCAAGAGCACAAAGCCCCGGGCGAGGCCAGCCCTGGGCAGGCAGGGCTCCCCGGTGTGTGTCCCAGGAAATGCCAGCCTCTGCGGGGTGCTCCCGCTGCTTGGAACAGCACACGGATGGGGAGTCCAGGGACAGACCCTGTGTCCCTTTTCCCTTCCCCTCGCTCTGGAAGGGGGGCTGGCTGCTGTCCCCATCCCTGTCCCATCTACCCCTCACCCCACACCTCATCCTGCACCAGCAAGGACATTATTCTGGTGGCCTCTCGCCAGGACCACCGTGACAATGAGATCAAGACCCTCCAGATATTCCCCACCCATCACAAGTTCAAAACTAAAATCCAGGTCAGAATTTTCTCCTCGTGCAGCTCCTCTGAGCCAGACTGGCAGGGGCCAGCAGGTCCCCACATTGCCCTCCCTGTTCCCCTTCAACAATGGGGACTCCCCCACGCTGTGCCACCTTCCCAGATGTGTCCCTGGTGTTTCTGCAGGTGCGGATCCTCAAGGTGTCAGTCACCCTTGTCCTGAAAAGAAAATTTCCTGGAGAACCTCCTCAGCTGCCAGGGGTTGCCCCCAGCCTTTGTGGCCTCCCCGTGTGGTGCAGAGCCCTCGGGGCAGTGGGGAGTGGTGCTGTGAGTGCCTGGTTCTTGCTCTGCCTCAGGGATAGAAAAACATGGGGTGAAGTCAGCATTGGAGAAGCCAAGAACACACTCTCTGATGATCCCCTCACCTCCTGCTGCTTCCACAGCTCTCTAGACAGGTGCCTCCTCTTCCTCACCCTGCTGTGGTACATCTGTGCTCCCTCCCCATGCCCAAAACGCTGACCCTGAGCTGGGCATCACACCCTGCAGCCCATCCTGCCCAGGGCACAGCTCTGCCAGGGCAGGCCTGAGGGGACTGGGACCTTGCTGCCAGCTGGGGCTGCTTGAGCACCATCACTCTCCAGGTCTATCCCAAATTCCCAAAGCTTCTGCACATCCTGCAGCCTGAGCAGTGCTCTACAAGATGCTGGTGGAGGCTCCCATGGCACAGAGAGCTGCTGCTGCACAGGGTCCCTTCCAGGGGGGGCTCCCACTTGGCTGAGCCACATCTGCCCACCCTGAGGAGGGGGTCCAGAGCCTGCAGAGTGGTGACACTGAGCTGGACACAACCACCAAGCACCCCAAGAACCCACAGCTTCAATACCACCTGCAAGTCCCTCTTCACTGGCAACAAACTTTTCTATGGAATGTTTCCAACCAGAGCAGCCACAGCAGGAAATAAACCAAGGCAAGCATAACCCAAGTGGCTCCCTCAGATCCTGGGGCTGCTGCATCTTTCCCTGCCCTGCATCCTCTTTTTAAAACTCCCCTTGAGAGCTCAGCCCATGGCTTGCTGCTAGTCCAGATTATTGTATGATTACACACATACAGGTAAAGCCATCACGTCCATGTGTCTTTTTCCAGGACCTCCTGGCACTGCTGTCCCTGTCCTGGGGCCAGTGGGCTGGGCTGGGTGAAAAAACCACCTTGCATCTTAGCAGAAGCTATTCTTTACTCAAATTCTCCCACAGCCAGACCCAGGAATCCCTGGAGAGGGGGAAATACCAGGTGGCAGGGGCAGCACAGAGGGGCACAGGGGGGGCTCTTTCTTCACCGCCGCCTGGAGGAGTCCTGGGGGTCCTTGCACACACCAAAGTCGCTGTTGGTGATGGAGCCCACAATGGTTTTATCAGCATCACAGGTCAAGCCACTCTCACAGGGACACTTGTAGTAGACCCCATAGATGCTCTGCAGGGAACAAGGACTCAGTGCAGAGTGGGGGACATGCCCCATCCCAGCCCTGGGAGCAGGGAGCACCTACCTTTGGGGAGCACTCCTGGAACTCAGCTGCCTTGGAAGCACATCGGGCCAGGCTGAGGCCACTGGTTCGGTGGCAGCAGCCACTCTTGCACTGGGCACTCTGCATGCACAGCTCCCCGATCTCCTGCAGCACAAGGCAAGGCCTGAGCACCAGGTCTCTCTTTGTTCCCCTTTAGTCTCACCCTAGCTGTGAGCCTAAGGGGTTTGGGTGCGTGTTGAACACCAGCTCTCCCTTTTGGCTGAGGCTCAGCACCACTGCCCCATGCCCCAACCTCCCACTCTGTAGCATTTCCTTAGTCTGGCCCAAAATAAAACCCACCAATGTGTTTTTTGCTGGACTCGCAAGAGTAGGGCTGAGACACCACAGGAAAAGCATTTCCCCTCCCCAGCCCCTATGAACCACCCAGGGTGGGGGTCCTGGCTGGCTCAGGCAGCTGAGAGCTTCAGTCTGATCCACTTTCTGTGTTCCCTATCCCTTTATAGAGCTGATTTCCCAGGCTCCAAGTTCCCTCACACCACCAGAAAACCCAGCAGACACCTCCAACCCTCCATGTGTGTCCATTGCAGCAGTGAGAGCATCCTGTGCCAAGGACAGGGCTGGGCTCCCCTTACCAAGTTGAAGATGAGCCCTCTCTCCTGATGTGCCTCCAGGGCTGGGGCCAGGAGCAGCAGGGCCAGGAGCAGGCAGGCAGGCAGCACGTTGGCCATGGCAGGCTTGTCTGTGGCTCTGCCACGGGGCCAGCAGGTGTTTTATAGCTGTTGTCTCCATCAGCTGACAGGGCTGCCCCTATCACACCTCAGCTCGTGGCATTGGGGCACTGCTGCACTGCCCAGGGCAAGGAAACAGCGATGCCTGGGCAGCCAAGGCTACCAGGTCCTGTTCCCAGGTGACTGTCCCACATTGGCAATGTCAACCTGCCCTTTAAATAGTTCATTTGGCCAAAAAGAACACAAAATAATGGCACTTCCGTGCTGCTAGTCTTTCCTTCTCAGCTTTCCCCTGGCAGCAGTGGGCTGGAGTTCTCTGGAATGACCTCCTTGCTGGGTGCTGCTGATGGCTCATGGGCAAAGTGAGGGCTGGTGGCCACAGCAGGAGCTCTGCTCCCTGGGTAAACCACCAGATCCTCCATCTCTCAAATGGAATCACGGACATCAAGAAACCTGCTGGAGAAAGTTCATATTGTGCAGGATAGCACAGCCCCCTGCAAGGATCCAGAGCCCACCAAGGTCCCCAGCCCAAGTCCCAGAATTTCAGCCTGCCCTGCCAAATATTTGCTCTGTGTTTCAGTGTTGGAGGGGGGGAGTGTGGCTGATGAAAGGAAAGCAGCCCTGGGAACGGCACAGCTTTTGATCATGTTCTTGGACATGATTAATGGCCACATAGCCCTGGCCTTTGACAGCCACAGGAGTGATGCTGAGGCTGGCACTGGCTGCGGGGTGACTGTCACACTGGCACACTGGCACCGGCCCCCACAACAGGAGCCGAACCTGTGTGCTCACTCAGGGCTCCTGGAGAGAGGTCCCAAGGTGGCCACAAGTGCCTGCAGCCCTCCGGAGCTGCCCACGCTCCTCTGGCAGCAGGACATGGGGTTTGGGCAGAGACCTGGCCCTGCCCAGGCGCTGGCTGACACCCCGGGGTGTCCTGCTGCCAGGATGAGCCATTTCCCTTCCTGCAGTGGAGCTGTGGGGATGTTCCCTCTCTGCCCGCAGCCCCCAGGGCACACAGAGCAGAGCCCGGGGAGATCCTGGGAGCCGTGGCTCAGCTCCTGGCACATTCTGGGACGCATGCTGGGGGCCAAGACACAACCTGGGGTCTCATCCCAACACCCATCCTGAGGCATGTGGCACATCCTGGGACACTCTCGATTGTGGGTGACACAGCCGAGGGCGCTACTGGGGGCACGGGGGGGTCAGGGTGCACCCTTGAGTGCATTGCAGGGCACAGGGGCACTCTGGGGCACAGCCCAGGGCACAGGGCACAGGGTGCATCGCAGGACAGACCATGGGGATATTTGGGTTATCCCGGGGTGTGTCTTCGAGCACACGCAGGAGGCGAAGGGCGCATCCCGAGCGAGCATCCCAGGCACACAGGGCACATCCTCGGGGCTCCTTCAGAGCATCCCGGCAGCGCATCCCGACAGCCTCATCCCGACAGGCACCGCCCGCCTCCTCCCGTGCCCGCCCCGGCTGCGGGAGCGGGGTCGCTGCGGCTCCTCCCGAGTCCCCCCGGCTCGGCACGGCTGGGAGGAGGTCTCGCCGCCGCTCCCCGGGGCGGTCCCGCCGCTACCGGAGCCTCCCGCCGCCCCCGCTGCCTCCGGGCGGGGCCGGAGCGGGGCCGGGGCCGGGGCCGGGTCCGGGTCTGGGGCCGGGTCTGGTGCCGGATCCGGGTCTGGGTCTGGGTCTGGGGCCGCTTCCCCCGCCATGTCCAAGCTGCTGCCGGCGCAGGAGGCGGCCCGGATCTACCACACCAACTATGTGCGGAACGCGCGGGCCATGGGGGTGCTCTGGGCCCTCTTCACGCTCTGCTTCTCCATCCTGATGGTGGTGACCTTCATCCAGCCCTACTGGATCGGCGACAGCATCGACACGCCGCAGGCCGGCTACTTCGGCCTCTTCTCCTACTGCATCGGCAACGCGCTCACCGGAGAGCTCATCTGCAAGGGCAGCCCCCTGGACTTCGGCACCATCCCCTCCAGTGCCTTCAAAACTGCCATGTTCTTCGTAGGTGTCTCCACCTTCCTCATCATCGGCACCATCCTCTGCTTCAGCCTCTTCTTCTTCTGCAACGCAGCCACCGTGTACAAAGTGTGTGCCTGGATGCAGCTGGCAGCGGGTGAGCGGGGCTGGGGGGATGCCCGGGGAGCGGGGGGGCTGCCCATGGACCGACCCTTTTCCCTTTCTGCCCTCGACTCTGCTGGGGATGGGGGCGGGGGTTTGGCCGGTTAAGAGACCCCAGTGTCACCTCCATGCCATTTGTTCCCTCTTTCTGGTTACCATGGGGAGTTTTTAGTAAAAAAACTCCTTCCAGAGCAGCTGAGACACAGCAGGCTCGCCGCGTGTCGGGTGATGCTTCCCCGGGCGTTGCTGCTGCTGCTGCCAAACCTTGTGTCCCCCTTGCCTGGGGGAGCTTCTCCCGGCGCCACCGCTCCTGCTCAGCTGCAGGGAGGCTTCAGAGGATCAGTTCGAGAGCACCAAAAAACCCCCCAGGGCACAGAGAGCGCTCTCCTGTGCTGGGGATCCTACAGGAATGAAGCAGGGAGACAGTGCTGACGTTTGCTGGGCCATTGTAGTAACTCCCTGAGTTACTACAGGGAATTATTCTCCTCATTATTCTCCTCAGGGAATAATGCACGAGGAAGATGAAACACGAGGAGGGGACTGACTGACTGATCTGGTACCATTACTCGCATTTTCTCACTTTGCTGCTCATCCCTGTGGTTCTCAAGCCTTGCCCATCTCTCCCCCCAAGGTACTTGAGACACCTGGTAACCCAGCTGCTGTGTTTGAGCCTCAGCTGAAACCCAACCCAGCTCCTGAATCATGCATGTGAGCCCTGGCACAGCCCCCGCTGACACCCCGCGGGGTTTCTTCAGTTCCCAGCTAAAGAATCGAGCTCAAGCAAAGATTTAGATAAGAAGCTTGGGGCAGCTCAGCCTCCTGGGGAGCAGGAGGACAGCAAGGCTTTGCTGGTAGTTGGGGTTTTAACAGGTATTTTTTGATGTTGTTGTGAATGGGGGAAGAGAAAATTGTCACAGGCAGTTCTGGCCAGATGGACAGGCACCGCTGCATTTCAGGAATTATTTTAAAAAGTGGGCAGGCTAAGAGAGGATCCATTTCCTGGCCTTTGCTCTGCAACAGGGCACAATTTTACAGAAGTTATTTCTTTCCTGCTTCCCCTATTTCTCTGTTAGTTACAGGGAAGATTTATTCTGTGTGTACTTAACCCACTGCCTTTCCATGAAGAGAAATCCTGTCTGCAGACCAAGGAAGCTGCCTGCTCACCTTGCTGCTGGCTTGTCCCCAAGCCAGGGAAAAAGAAAACATTGGCAAAGGACAAGGCCACTGCCCCAGAAGGGGGTTCAGGTTTACTGAGCACCTGGTGGCAGAGAAGGGGCACTGGTGTGGGGCAGGGTGCATTTAAGGAGGCTGCAGATGTCCATGAGGGGCAGGGACAAACATCTGCTTGTCCACCACGAGATTGTCTCCTGTGTGAGAGGAGTCAGGGACTGCCTCACGTCTGCACCAGTTACTTCCAACGTAGGAGTGGAGCATGTGAAGGGTTTTTGTTCATAATGTCCCAAAATCTTGCATATGAACTCATCCCAAACCTGGTCATTGTTCTTGTCCAGTAAATATAATTTCTCTGAAAGGGGGAAAAAGGCACTTTTGAGATTTTGGGACATGAGCTGCCCTTCAGCAACCTGCTGGCACTGGGGATGGTGCAGCTGCCATGGCAAAGCTGCAAAGGTGAGGTGCTGGGGACACTGTGGCCAGGCTGGAGCAGCTGCTGAGGTTGTGTGTGAGCTCTGAGAGCAGGCACAGGAGGAGCTGCTGCTAGAACCACCACAGCTGAACAAGCAGAATTAATCTGCCTGCAAAGCTGCTGCTGACAGCAGCTCTACCTTAGCAAACCTAGGCTGGAATCAGCTGCAAGGCACTAGGCCAGGGTCTCCACCTCACACAGACTAAACCCATTGCAGTTTTGTTTGGAGATGTTTCCTTGGAGTGACACGGCCAGGGCTCTGTGCAGAGGGAGCAGAGACGTTGCCTGGGCAACACTGAGACAGGAGATGCTGGTGCAGCACGTCCTTGACTCGTGGGAAGGCAGCACAGCAGGATCCTGCTCCTCCCAGCCTGTGGAGCAGAGCAGAGCCCAAGGGGATGAGCAATCACAGCACCTTTCAAGGGACAAGTCTGTAGTACCTGATGTGTTTGCAGCATGATGTTTGCTCCTCCAGCTCTCTCCACTTCGGTATTGATGCCTGGGAAATAGAATACATCTTTCCAATCTTTCCAATTGAGTGAATATAAAAGCAAACCTTTATCAGTTTCAGGTTTCAGGTGAAAGCTTTCAGGTGAACAGCACGGTGAAAAGTACACGTGGTGTATAGTAATGATACGATTTTATAAGGTTAGTAGATTAGTACACTTATCATACACTGTCCAAACAAAAAGTTAGTTGGCTAGGTAGTCATTCCTGGGCTCCTGACCCTCTGGAAGCAGTCCAGAGGTTTCCTTTGCCCCACTTTTGTTATGTCTGGTCCAGATTCTGGTTGGAAAACAGAACGTTCTTGAAGTCGGTTCTCTTCTTGGAATAAGACTAAACAATATTTAGGAATGTGCTTATAAGGTTAGCTTGTTTTTCCTAAAGGTAGGGAAGAAAGACAGGAAAAACACTAGAACAATCTACAAAACGAATATATGAACATATGTAAAACTAAAAATCTTAGGCAGCAGCAGCAGCTCAGGAGCATCAATGTCCCCTTGTCCCTGCAGCTACAGGGCTGATGATCGGCTGCCTGATCTACCCTGATGGCTGGGACTCGAGCGAGGTGAGGAGAATGTGCGGGGACAAAACGGACAAATACACGCTGGGAGCCTGCACGGTGCGCTGGGCTTACATCCTGTGCATCATCGGCATCCTGGACGCCCTCATCCTCTCCTTCCTGGCCTTCGTGCTGGGCAACCGGCAGGACAACCTCCTGCCC